TAAAGTATATCTCAAATTTCATTCATGATTATAAAGAATAAAAGAAAGAAATTTAAGATTTAACTACGAAAGTCGATTCYCTGAGGCATGATCAAATTTTCCTGCCAAGAACCTTTGAAAATTGGACTTGAATAAATAGTGTAGACATCAATAATTGAAACAAGAGTATTTTTTTGCTTGATTATAAAAAAAGAGAAGAATACAAAATACTGATTATTACTTATTAGGTATTTTAYCTTAGGAATAAATATTAAATATACATCACTATCCAATAGCTGCGTCGCTCAACCCAAAATCGAAAACGTGAGTTATAATTTATGTTTTAATCGTAAAAATAATAAGTTCAATGTATAAATAGCATGTAAAGGTAATTAAAATTCAAGATGTAAATGTTCACATGAACCCACGTGGTTTCTAGAATGCATTACCACAATACAAATCGCGTTTTACCAGTAATTAACTATATCTTATATTAGATCGCTTTCACGTAGTTTTTGTCCTTTTTAGGACAAACAACTCATATTATARACAACAATATGATATGTTTAACCTAACAATGTTGACATACTAATGACAATTCTAGGTAAAAAAAATTTAAGCAGAACTTTATACCTATGAAAAAAAGTAATATTCATAAATACAACTTTATATACTAGACTATAATACTCAGAAACTGATCCTCTTAGGTACTACATAAAATCAAGCATAAGACTCAAATATTTTTTAATATKTTAAGTACTTAACAATATGATATGATTAACTTCATTTCGATTTTTTAACATAGTTCAATAATAATACTTGGGATAAAGGTAAAGATTGTTTAGAATTAATTAAGTATTTTATTATTGATAGGTAARTAAGTACCTACTCTAAAAACACATTTTATTAAAGTATAATAAACGAAAATTAATTAATTTTATAAGCATAAAAAAATAATAACTTTCAGAAGTAAAGTAATACTTCATATCAAACAATAATATAGTCATATCATTAAGCATAAAAAATAAAATGGCTAAAAATCATTTCGGGATATTTAATCAAATAAATGAACACACTATAGATTACCAAAATCAAGACATATTTAATAGTTTATCAACAAATTTTTAAAATTTAAACACTAATATTATAATTTTTATAATTTTATTATTTTGCTAAAAATAAATATTTAATTATATACCATACAACTAGGTAATAAATTAAAATGTATAAATAAATTCTCAAAAAGTCTTTTTTGGGAGGTTTACATACGAATTGACCTTTTAGTATTATTATTTTTCTTTGACGTRCATGAGTTAGTAGCTTCTATATGTCCATGGTCTGTACACCCACTAGTCGACATATACCCCTGTGTCATTTGCCAAGCGCGCGTGTATGTGCACATTGCAACGTGGCGAACCCGAGAGGTTATTCGTAGTAAAGCCGCCCTTCGTCCACACACCGCTGGCGGGGCCACTATTTTTATTGACCGTACAGCCGGAGGGTCTTCTTAACGCCTGCGTCGGCTACCTTTTGAAACAATGTATCAAAAAAAAAACCCCAACGACAGCAAAAAACACTATATCAAAATGTCAAACGAATTTTCGTCTTTAAATTTAATCGGAAATCAAAAATATTTTAAGTTATACTTATACTTATATACAATAACTAAATCTATTGAACACGACCTAACTATTTGAATTACTTAAAAAGTGTAGTTTTGTTGTTTATATATAGCTATATAAAATTTATAACACAATTCACAAAAAAACATTTTGAAAATGACGAATTYTACTTCAGCGAATAATAAATAGTTTCAAAATAAATTGAAATTCAGGTGTGGCTAATGTAATAAGACTACAAACATTTAAAGAGGTAAATCTTCTTAATGTGAAACTTTACTGAATGGAATTCAGTTTATAAATATCTAGTATTGTTTTACCTTTGCACAATTATAAAACAAATTGCTAAACCCTTCATGGAGAAGAAACAGTAAAACGTGAAAGAATGACTGGTGTGAATGTGTGATCATTTTAACAAAACTCCGTGTACTTTTAGAAGTTAAACTCCGAAGGGGTAAAAAATAATTGATTATTATCCGGTCAACATTTAAAATATACAATATTATTAARACAAAGAAATATTTTGTTTAAATTATTAAAATTACGATTTTTTTTTTTTAGTTCAAAGTATAGGCTAGTCTTAAAAAAATATATGCAATATTCATTCAATTTTTTTTTAGAATCAATAACTASAAAATATAATTAATTGACATTCATTAATCAATAATCCATCAAATATTAATTAGTTAGGTGAAGTTTTTATTTTTCTGAAATACATTATAAGCCAGGATGCAGAAACAAAATGAGGCATATGATATATTAAAATAGATGATGTAAGGATATTTGAATAAACTAAAAAACCATAATTCAATTTAAATTTGTAATTGTATAAATTAATTAATTAATTTAAAAATTGTTATATATTCAAAATAAATAAATAAAATGTCAAATCTTACAATAATTAAATTTTAGTCAAATTGTTTGAATCTTAATTCTTTATTTGAATAATATATTATTATTTTTTTAAATTGTCAAAACAAGAATATGTTGAAACAATTTAAATTCAATAAATGAAGAAAAAATTATTTTTTAAAAACCATAGGAAAGTGGTAAAAATTGKATGTCCATGATTTTTAAGTACGATACAAGCATACGAAGTACTTCGCGTTAAAACATAATATTAAATACATACATTATAAGCACATATTTAAAACTATTGTAGATAATAACAACATTCAGCATGCGAAGGGATGCCCAACTAGTGTAACCTCAAAATATATTAAACTGTAAAAAACGATATTTAAAATATCTTTAAATTATTTAAAATTGGTTTACGTATAGGTAGGTAGTTGATATAGCTGTACTATAGTTTAGATTTAACATGTATATCGTAATAAATACTAATAAAACGAGATTTTACTAGTTACTTATTATACGCTTATATATAATATATTTGAATGTACCTAAAGTATATAGTGTATTATCATATATAGTATAAAATATATATTGGACATAATAGCTATACTCATTGAACAATACTCGAGTACCTTTTTCTTTTTCTTAAAAAGTAAAGAGTATACCTAGTTTTTATTTTTTAATTACAACGGTAAATTCATTTTAAGTTAATAGTTTATAATTCATGTAATAAAGGTAAAAAAATAATAATAACAAGCAGTTATAATAATGTCATTCATTTTACCAATATCCCACAGTTTCTAATAATGGTGGAAGATTTAATATGGTGGTGGTTTAAATAGGCAAGAAAAACGTGTTTAATCGGCAGTGCCAAGGGAGTATTCATAAAAGATAGAAGTGGACGGAAGAGGGTTCGTTAAAAAACAACAGACTTGGCATAATGCCGCCATTACTCATAAAATCATAACTCATAAGAATTGATTTCCTATGTTTTCCTTAGAATAACAAATAAAACAACAGCACAGGATAATGCTTGGACAGTTGGACCTTCCTAATCGGTCTACCAATTAATTAAATAGAAATAATTCTGTAATTTCAAAGAAAACAAAATTAATCTTCGCTAAAATAAGCCAATGTTTTCATTTTACCAGTAAATAAAACACCGATATTAATAAATTTTATAAATACGCAAGCAAAAGTTGATGGGTTTAAAATTTCCGCGCATTTTTATTGATTCCCTTTAAACTACCATTTTTATTGTTATCATAATTTTATTGAGGAGTGATATTATAAGCAATCACCTAGTATATTTCAACCATGCCTTTCATCTATCAAAAATAACGTTATTCGTTAATTCGTTATAAAACATAAATGTTAAAWATTTATCCCTTTTAAAATTATAGAATTTCCTGTAACATTGTATTTTAATTTAAAATAATTTTGGCAAGTTAATGGTTATAGAAAAAAAGAAACTTCAAAAATATTTTTGGTATGAGATCATAKATCGTAGACTACTTCATTCAGCAATTATAATTTCCATTTGTGCTCTGAGCTGCATTAAAGATATGTTTATTCAAAAGTTTTTATCTACATGATTCAAGTTTAAAGTTAAGTAGACGACTTTAGTATAATAATTTAAAACTAAAATTTCATTATATAATTGGAAAGTGGTTTGAAAGTTGCTCAATATTCAGTGTAATATTTGTATAACTATTGACTATTGTTAAAGGCTTAAAGCCAAATTGGTAATGTATTTTATAAATTATACTATGTATTGATGTGGATTGTGCATGTCAAAATCTTGATAAAAAAATAATTGGATACAATATTATCAAATTATTGGTGAAAATTATATACAGGGAGTCCCATGAATGTTAACTAACCTAAAGACGGTAATTTTATTTATATTTCATTACTACCATTATAAAATAGGAAGTCTTCTTAGAAATTCATGCATATACCTATAAAATATTAAACATTGGCTGGAAATTTTAAAATAATGTATCAACGTAATTACTAAGCACTAATCAGATGTCATATGAGTATATTATGACATTTTATGAAACAGTCGAAATAAAAAATATTGTTATTGTATTGCTTTGACTCTTTTATCTGATGCAAGATAGTAGTACTGTGAATAATTGTGGTATTAATTTATTAAGTTCACATAATGATAAATCATTGTAATAGATTGAAAATAATRTTGAACAAAACATTTCTTTAAAATGTATCATAAAAAATAGAATAACACTATAAGGTGAAAAATAAAATGTACATACCTATTATCTACTCAAAATATAAGCTTAGCTTGATCTTTAATAAATAAAACTACTATATTTKTTACTGTGCAAAAAATCTCAAAAATATATATTGCTTGATACTTCTAAGTTCTAAAATTATGTATTCATTAATCATARTTTAGTGATGTTTTAAAATAGATATCACAGAATCTTCTCCTAACTGATATTTAACCCTGACAATAAATACTTAACCAACTAAGTACCTACTAAACTTAATAATAACTCATAATGATTTTAAAAGTCTTACCTGATAACTCATTACATCTGACTCATCGATGTTGTTAATGTCAAAAGTTGTTGAATTTTGATTGAATAATCCTTTTCCTGGATATGAAGTACTACGTCTAAATTTTGATGAATTCATAGAAGAAGGTTGATGTTGATGATGATTGTAATTAACATTTGGCTTACGACCAGCTAAAGCATGCATTGGATTCAAATTAGGTACAGAACGACCACGATTCCACGACGAACCGGCTATACCACTTTGATTTTGACTAGARTTAAGCCACGAGTTCTGATGTGACTGTGACCAAGAGTATCCTTTACTGGCCATGTACAGATTCTGTGGATGAGCTGACTGTTGCAGTTGCCTAGACAAATTGTGAGGGAAATTATGTGTGGCACCAGATGCTTGACGTCTATGGTGATGTTGTTGTGGTTGCTGTTGCTGGTGATGCGGTCCCAGGCCAGTATTGTACAAAGTATTTGGAAAATTCTAAAAACATCAAATATTACAATATTTAAGTTGAAAATTAATCACACATCATTTTWAGTAACTATATACCTGTATAACTTATCACCAAAATTAAAAACTATGTCAAATTTTAATTTAATTCATCATTTATCTCCAGTACAGGAAAAAAATTCAAGTCAAACAAAAGTTTATAATAAATAAGTATTGTTTAATTCTTGAATGAGACAAGAAATAACAATGACAGTCATTTACATAAATCAGTATAACTTTCTCAAATAATAGGCAATAGCCACTTAGTAAATATGGCAGTGATTGGTGCTTCTTTTTCAAATTTCAAAAATAGTAAAAAATATTTATGAAAACATCATTGGTTCAATAATTAGAATAAAGACAGTTTAAAATTGAAATACACATTTATTAACAAATAAATGAAACTGAATTGTATAAAGTTGATTAACTTTATTAGGCATTGAAAAAATAAATAGCATTGTCTAAAAAACAATTCATATAATCAGAGTTCAGGACTTATAGAATTTTCTTATTTTAAGGTTGACATATATATGTGAATATATATGTCAACCTTAAAATAATAGGGAATATATATCATCAAATATATATGGGAGTATATATCATGGTACAACATGTTTAAGTATGAAATTTGAAAGTAATTAAAAATAATTTTTCTTCTTTGTATCATATTTCCTGGTAATAACCTAATAAACACCGGGACTTGTATTTGCTCCCTCATGTACTAATCAGCCAAATAATTAAATTTTTCTTTTTGTCAATTTTTTAAAAAAAAAGTGTATCTTTCTAAAAATCTATGAAAAGTATAATAARGAAGTTAAAATGTTTTCAAAAAGGCTAAAAGTTTTTGATTTATTTTAAGATGAAGTTTTTTTAATGTTTTTAAGAATAAATATTAAACGATAATATAGAAAAAAAATTTTGTTTACCTATAGTTTTTATCATGCTTTATGTTATTATATAGTTCTTTTACTAATTTTAATTTTTATAAGTTCTTATAATGAAGTACATTAAGTGTTTTTTTAGYGCTTATTTTTATGATAATAAATGCTATAAGTTTCATACTCTGTTTATTATTGTATAACAACTTATMCTAATTTGCAAAAAAATAATTCATTTAATAAACTAGGTGAGTATGTAGACAAATAAAAATTTAAAATAATGATTTAATAAGGTATTAATAAATGTAATGGATTTAATATACTTGTTCGTGTTTTATTCAAGTTAGACCATTATTGAATGTATTTTAATTAATACTTAGTTAATCAATCTAATACTACAAGAATATAACAAATAATTGTTACTTATTCTTAATTAATGTAATTAGGTATACCATAATGTTATCTACTAAAAACTTGCATTAAACATGGAGCCAGAGATTAGGGGGCTAGAGAGCTTAAAGAGGCTTAAATATAACAATAATAAAATGTGCAYTTCCAAATATTATTAAGGTAATTGTACAACTAACACTTAAGTAACATTAAAAATAAAAACAAAATTATATAACTAAGAATGGTTCATACCTTGTATTATTAGAAAATATAAAAACATAAAATATTTAACACTAATAAGCTATAGTTAAGGAATTTTTCATAGGTACCTAACAGCATATTATACCAAATACCTACTCATTTTTAGGAACAATTATATAAAAATATCTTAAAATTCTACTACTTTATGACAAGATGTATGTTTTTCAAAAATGTGTACATTATTAATATTTATACAATTAATAACTTCAGTGTAGGAGCACAATACAAATAAATTCTGTAAGAGATTAACAGTTATATTGTGAAATGTTTGTAAAAAAGTCTTAACATTATAAAATTACAAATAAGTAACCTATAGGYACCTAATGTAATATAGTAAAAATAATTCTTATAGAAATATGTATTCCCTAATAAAGGTTCATAGGCAAGCATTGAACATTTCAAAATATTAATCCCAGTATTGAGTAAATGAAATTTAAAAGGAATACTATTCCTTAATTTTACTAAGAAAACAAATGTTAAATTTATCAAATAGGTAGATGGGTACATAATAATGTACCAAATTTTGATTGGTGAAAATGCATGACAGAACATTTAACTCTACATAATATAAAATTATTGTATTTTTTAATGCATAACTTACAGCGTTGTTTGCAGCCGCAGACGCATTTAACCCGTGTATCAATGTATCATCAACAGACGCTGACCATAGACTAGACGTAGAGGAGTTGGTTGACGAGTTTATCACATTAAGACTAGCTTCATTGTTGTAAGATGATGGTAACTGCATTTGTGGGCCGCCCGATGATTTATCACCACCACCACCTAACGCTGCCAGCACAGAATCTTCTTTGACAGTGCCTTTGGTGGAGGGCAGCTGTTGGTGATCGCCGTTGACCGGTGACGGTGAGATCTGCTGTTTGACGGTGACGTCCTGCAGCTGCTGTGGGCCGTCGTCGGCAAAATACGACTGTGACGACGACGACGATGGCAGCCCGGACGTGTTCACCGACGATTGGTACTCAATAGAACTTAAACTAGAATTTACACTAAATTTGTACTCCCCCATTTATACAATATCACGAACGGTCCCGTGCGGAATAATGGTGTGCCGCGCGCGAACCTCTGCTGCTCGAAAACGCACACGTCTGAATATTTTGTTATTATTATATTTAATAATGTAACGGCAATTTCGACGACTGACAAACAGAAGACCGCTGCGGAATATTATTTATATGATATAAATATACGTATATATATTTATAATTGGGAATATTATGCAATATATTGTATTATATTTTTTATATAATATAATAACATACGATTTTTTTGCGCTTGAAATTTTTATTTAAAAAAAAAAATTTAACTAGAGCTGCGGCTGCAAACGGGCACGTTGGCCACCCGCTGATAACACGACTGCACGAGCCGAAACGCGATAGCAGCGGCGGCAGCAGCTTGTCGGTGACTCCCCCACCCCTCCACGCGTTTAACAACGACCGCCGCAAGAGCGTTCCACCACACCACCAACGGAAAGCCGCCAATCATATGTTTATTGGCAATTTTCGGATTCGACGCACTTCTCCGCTGCCGAAGTCGTCGTTCGCGCTCGGCGTCTCTCGACTTGGTGTCGTGATGATGAATTGTTATTACAATTATTATTATTATTATTATTGTTATTGTTATTGTTATGACAAATTATTATTATTTTATTATTTACTATTTAGATGGCTCCGTCGCACTGTCGATTGCTTATTTTTCACGTTGTGCCTTTGATTATAATAATTTAACAGTGTAAATAAATTATGATTATTGTTTTTTTAAATAAAATAATTTACAATAATAAATACAAGACTTAAAGACAAAACAAGTACCGTGATATTATTATTATTCATTATCAATAATATATATATTAATTGTATAATAATAAATTATTATACAACTCAATTTTTACAATGTCTTATAGGTTACATAATAAATATTACAATACGTGTTCGATGTGCTTATAAGTTAAAATATTTTTATTAAATTTAATTAAATACATATTTCGTGTGTATTTATTATAATATACCTTTACGGCATTACTTTTTTCAGGTAGGTACTATAACTTACAAGTTACAATATCTATGCAGTCAAATACTCGAATGTCTATATTTAGCCTAGTATAGTGGTCGGTGCTAACGTCGTCTCACAGTATAGTATAGCCAGTATAGGAGGTACTTCGTACTTAGTAAGTATACTACCTACGTTAAACGATTGCATATTATAAAGGTAAGTTGTATAGGCACTGAGTATACCTATTACCTAGTTACCCACAAATAATTATAATTTAATAGATTACCTACCTACCAATTTTATTAAATTATAGGTATACCAGATACCTATTATGTAGTTATGTATGGGATTTTTTGATTTTGTCGAGAAAATTCGTGTGTACTTTAAAAAAATCATCACTGTTTATATTTATAGACTATATGTATATTATCATAATAATGAGTGATTACTAATGAGTTATGAGTACCTACCTACAAATTAATAATTATATATCTACCGAGTGGTAAATAATACTTACACTCAGAATTTCTAAAACTTCTAACGTATTAAAAAATATTTTTCTTCATTATTTTAATTCGTTAAAAAACAAAATTTTTCTAAATATTTTTTATTAATATTGTCAAAGCAGAATCTGGATAACCTTATAGATGTATAAAAATTGTATTTTTGACGAATAGTCTATGAATTAGGTGTAACTATTATGATAAGTATTTAAGGTTTAGAATGTTTAGATATTAGATGTAGATGTGGAGTGGAGTAGTGGTACAGAAAAATATTAGTCTTCGCTACTCCAATAATCTAATCTTTATATATTATGTTATAAACTGCTTGTTCGAAAATTGGTTTTTATTAGTCCTCCAAATAGTCAAAATAATATTCTATTATAGAACATACAATGTTAAAAGTGTCATCACTGAATGGCTACTTTTATCAAGATTATTCATGTTTTTAGTTTTTGTATTTTTAGCTAATACTCTTCTAACCTACGAGGTACAGATTGTATATATAACAATAAAGGAAACAAAAAATAATTAGTAGGTAGKTAATTAAAAAAAAATATAAATATTTTGTTATTCAAAAAAGTAAAAACATAAAAATAATAACGATAAAAAATGTTATTAYATTTCAAAAATTTTGTTTTGTTAGGGTTACCTACTCATAATAGCGTGTGTGATGTGTGAATACTGAATAAGGACGGAAATTTAAAATATTATCCACACGCTTTTCTTATTTTCCACTTTTTCCAGCCTAACTTACGAACAATACGAACCATGAATTTGAGTAGAAACTGTCACCCAGAGTCGAGTCGCATTTGATTTTAAACCCACATTTTTTATTTTATAGTAGTTATTAGTTACCTAGCGGCTAACGCCTAAGTTTAAAACACTAATAATACCTTAGACCCAGTGCCGCAACAACCGGGGGTGCTAGGGGTGCAAAGAACCTCCTGACCCCTTTAAATCATAACAATGGGCCCCGAGGCCTGTGGCTGAACTATTTGGAACTTTTTTTGAAATTGAAAATTTCAGTTGTCTATAAATATCTTTTATAATTTAAATAGGTACTAAGTAGATATGCTTTGGGAATGTTCGTTCCAGAAATTTTTACTCTAAAGATTTCTTTTAGATTGGCCTCTTGTTTATGCTACTGGTACACGGTACTTAGTAACAAGAGAGTTTCGTCCAAAATTTCAATGTATTGCCGATTTTGTTGTGCAATTGTAGGTCGTGGGCGTTATAACATTGTGACACAAATACATGCATTATTGCCTGTTACTTGTTATAATATAATAATATTACTGTCACAAATTAAACTTAGATGTCAAAAACTAAAAATCTTATTTAAATTATGTAACTTACTGAGTTCAATCTCCATTTACCAAGCCTAATAACTCTGCATAGAGATAAATTGGTAGTTGGAAAAAAAATCCCCAGTAGCATTTTACAGGTAGTAGGTATTATATTATTTTATAAATTACATTATATRAAAATAAAATAAACATTGTTATTTTATAAAACTGTCTTACACCCTAAAAATACAATATAAATAAATATATTCATGTATTATATTATGTGTATATAAAATATATGCCACGATGGTTAAACTTTCGGAATTTTCAACAATATGCTCAAAATAAACACGATTAAGATGTAATTCCAAATGACCAATATTACTAATTAGTTGTTATTTGTTTCAGTTCTGGTATAAGATACTAGATAGTAGATACCGCCCATCATATAATCGTCGTAAATAAATAATATTATAATATTATAGGTAATTACATTACATTTAAACTTGTATTTAATTATTACCTAATATTATTATAAGTTTGTGGCTGACTAGGTAATAATTATAATTACATTACATTTTAACTTATATTTAATTATTAATATTATTATAAGTTTTTGGCTGACTAGGTAATATTATAATCACATATATGATATATGTATACTACATGCATGCATTTTTTTTTATATAATATTGGGTAAAAGGCAATTTTTTATAAAATAACATACAATATTATTTTTATTTTTATTACATCTAATGTACAAAATATGCTGGCGATTTTTTTCCTATAATGAGGGGATTTTTTTCCGCAATTCAAATAGCTTATTTTATATAAATACAATGATACAACACAAACATTCAATATGCTTATAACTAGTTATTTACTATACGGATATACCTAACTGATTTCGAGTCGCGACTTCAATGTATAATAGGTAAAGGTAATATCTATATTATTCGTTATTATAATATAAATTAATAGGTAACTACTAAATAAAGGTATGCAGTGGCGCCGAACCCGTGTATTAGGTGTGGCAGTCGCCACACCTTTTTAAGGGGGTGGGTGGTCCGAGGACTGGGAACTTTAAAGTTAAAACTTTAGTTCTGTGATAGAAAACCAGTCTTGGAACAGTAGAAGAGTAGTCATTGTATAGTTATCAAGATAGAGCAAAGAGTTTTCCTTCATGTAACACATAGGCTGTTAGTATTAGCATTTAGCATATCAGCTGTATCTA